ATGAAACATGTTTCGTCTATTAGACCTTTTCAATCATTGCTTTTAATTGTTATTATAAGTTAATAAAGTGAATTAAATGAAACATAAAGTCTCGTTTATTGATCTCCGCTACATTGTTCAATAGAATGCAAACTAATCAGGGTTAAAAAAACTGATGGTAGAATAAGTGCGTTTGAACGGGAAACGGATCTGAAATGGGTTTTACATGTAATCCCTGTTTTTTCCTCTTGCTTTTTTTCTTGGGATCCGGGGCTATTTTTTCGGGTTTTTGTCTCTTAATGTCGGTTCATGAATATTAATTTTTTCTCCTTTTGGGTCTCTGATTTTTAATTAATACGAACATTACGCATTTCCCACCCCCCCTTCCGCTGACCGGTTGATCGCGGGCTCAGGAAAATGTCCGTATAAGTGACCGTATAGTAGTTGTGATATGCGAACCAACGTTTGTGTACAACTTTGTAGATTGCAACGATCGTTTTCTATTATATTATATTTGTCAGTTAATATCAATAATGAATATGCCACTGGCCTTGACTTACTGTGCGACTATCAAACGTAAACGAGTTAGTTACCCGCGTCAAGCTCATTTGTCAATCGTCATTGGCTATAGAATCCAGCTGTCTTATTGACTATTCGAATACTAGGTGAATGAGTTTTTTTTGGAACATTTATGGCAAAATATGAGGACTTCCACTATTTCCACTATTTCAAATTGTCTTTGTTTGCTTTTCATGGCATTCCTAATGAGCCTAATTCATAAGTTTTATAAGTATGTTGTCTTCCAAGGAATCGCATCAGAAACTCGGTGGTGTAATGGTATAAGATGGCGCATATAGATTGGACAGTTCGGGATCGTTTCGTGAGGGAGTCATTTATCAAAGACCTTTTTTCACTAAATTAATTCTATATTAAGTTGATTATTTCTAATACTTTGATTATCATTAGATAGTAGTAGTTAGAAAAAGCTAGAAGTAACTRGAATCAAGGTAAGAGTAACTGGAAATAAGATAGAAGTAACTAGAAACAAGGTGGAAGTAACTGGAAATAAGATAGAATACAAGGTAGGAGTACTTCCTCTGGTATCCAGTTCTTGCACGTGGTACAAATTACAATCAGGGATTGGCTAGATACCTCATGAATAAATAATGAGTATGAGAACTACATTTCACCTGTGTGGGACCTCAGAGTCCCTTTTTCAATGCGCTAGCCAATTTGAGTTAAAAATTATCATTATGCTTTAATGTATTTGCCGTTCAAATCATTTAGATATTTAGGTATCAAGGATCACAGTTTCGATTAAGTTTTCGATTGAGATGGCTGTTGCTGCGCTTTGCGGACATGGCTGTGAATTTTTGATGTCATTGTAAGTAATGACTTTTTCTGGGATTTGTATGGGTGTGTCTGTGAGGCCTGCGGAGATTGCCATTGAAATCATTTCTATATTTTATCCTTCCTCTTGTGAACAATAAGAAATTTTATCCACGAAAGATTCTTCCATTTTCCATCGTATGGTGTTTCGGAACCAAAAGGACCAAGTGTTTAACAGGAAAAGAAAGAAATATTACAATTGTTTGCCTCTGATCTTACACACTAGAATATCACACAAAAGGATTAAGCTTTAATGTATWTCTGAAGGACTGCATATTATTGTTGATTATCATATAGATGAATTCTAACGCGCGATCTGATTGGCCAAACAAGTGTGGTTTATGAGAGTATAAACCACGATTGTGCTCAAAAAATATTTTTGCTCAAAATCTATATAATAAAACAAGTAAATAAGGCTCAGCCTGTGGTTTATACTCTGATAAACGCACGCTTGGCATTTGAATAACTTCCAGTATTGATTGACATAGCTATTGATTGAAACTAGAGACGATTTTAGTTAGTTTTTAGAAAAACCTTGTAGTGTTGAAGACACGGAATAAAGCCGGAGTCTGTCTGAATTCTGGAGTACTGTATTTTGAAGCGATTTAAAGTGTACAACATTTTGGCGGCTCAGACGGGAAATTCAACGGTTCAGCTATATGTCGAAATAGCACACGATCGATACATCTACCTAATACTGATATGGCAGAGTCAAATGTCCCAAATGAAGATGATCTTCAACTAGCAGAGAAGAAAGGCTATATACCCTGGAAACTACGAGATTAGAGGAAGTGGGGGACCATTTAGAAGTAGATGTACGATTACAAAGGTGTAGACGACACAAAGTTCGAATAATCAGGCAGGCATTAGCGGATCTGGTGGACGAGCACGTGGAGAAAGGCGATTTGGCGTCATTCCTTCAGTCGATTGTTGCGTTTATGGAGGTAGATCACACAGAAATTCCACCAACACCAAAAGAAACATTGAGAGAAACACCGAAAGAAGCAACAACAGAAAGCGCCGAGTACGCGAAAGCTAAAGAAGAGTTAACACGAATGCAAGAAGAGTTCAATAAGGTGATGGAACTCACCTTGTGAAGAAGCAGATAGAAGAAGCCTCATCGAAACTGTCATCTCTTAAAGAACCACAAAAGAG